TATATATATATATATATATATATATATATATATATATATATATATATATATATATATATATATATATATATATATATATATAATATGATTCTTTTAAAACAGAGTGAAAGGACTAACTTATAACACACATATATCTTGTACACGTGAATATTATTCAAATGTGTTTGAAAAAAATACATGAGATGCCCCTTAGTACTCGAGCATACTATACTAATCGGTTTGTATAATAAATCAATCTAATTATTCAATTATAGTATTTTTATTTTTAAATAAACTTATGATATTTTAAAGAATATTATAAACCTATTCAAAAATATTGTAACTAATATAAAAATCTTCAGACTTGATTGTTCTTATTTTTTTAATCAATAAGGATTCCTAAAAATCTATTTTTATATATAGGTTAGAATCTATTAGGTTTTAAGTCCATTTGTTTTAGTTACAATGTTTCTGAATAGACTTATAATATTTTTTATGAAAATATCAAAAACATACGGTAAGCCAATCAAAAAAATTATTATAATTATCATTGTAAATCTTATTACATGTAAGATTGGATCAGTTCATAATACAATAACAATTGATTCACCCCATAAACCGATTTATATAACGTGTAACGTAAAAATTACGATAAATAAATAACATCCTTTAAAAAAATATGAAAATGAGATAAAGTAAAAAAAAGAAAAAACCTTCTCGTTGTTCGCCCATAGAACAAAGAAAAATGTTGGTGAAATATAATTGTTGTGATCGAATCAATGCCACAACTTTCATGATCTCATAAAATAATGGAAAAAATCCATTGGAAATATTGCAAGATGCACACAAAAAATGAAGCTGTTCTGAGAACAAATCTTCCTCTTAGGAAAAAACAAGAAGCCATTCGCATCAAATAAATCAATTCACAGAGCAGAATGTATGAAGCAAACAAACACACGGTGTTGAATATGCCATCAGTAATTCCCCCTCTTTGACCATTCCGATCGAAGACCGAAAACTCAGCACCACCCAAACCCATCATATAGCGTTCTCTCGTCCCACCCTCACCTCCTTCCTCTACCTAAACCTTCCTACCCTCGTTGGCCTTCCGGTTGGGGAGATCCTCGAAGCTCCAGTCCCTCCGCATGCCTCCGCTGCGCTTCAGCTGCGGCCCCGCCGCAGCCTCTCCGGCAAGCAGATGGCTGCCACCCCCGTCTTCTGACATCCTCCGCCGCCCCTTCTTCTTGTCCGCCGGCTTCGCAGGAATGGACCTGCTCCTCAAATTCTCGTAGGGCGGCGGAGTGAGCTCCCCCGACCAATTCCTGTTTTCCCAGCAGCACCGTGCGGTCCACGGGCCACACCCGGCTCCGCCTCCGCCTCCGCCTCCGCCGTAGGAGTCGTCCTGCTCGAGTTCCACATCGCTCGTCGGCTTCCCGTAGCCGCCGCACGTAAGGCAAGACAGGCTCATCGTGCCCGTCGCTCGCCCTGCGAACCAGAAGGAGGAGATAGGATGTAT